TATCGAAAACAAAAGCTCAAACAGAAGATATTAGTTACGTCACAATACACCTGAGAACATGATTGCCACAAATGCTGATAAAAGCAAATAATCTAAACCAGGAAGTGTAACAATCAAAATTAATCATTAAATTGAAAAAGGATGTCTTATAAAATAGTCCTGGGAAAAGTTGTGTGAGAGGAGATTTCTTAAAATACTATTATTTTATAAAAATCATTTTTAAATGAAACAGACGATCTACCGTGGTGTAAATAATATTTAGTACATCACAAACACAGCTTAAGACTATTTAAAACTTACCTTCAACAATGAGTTTGTGGGTCTCCTTTGAGCTTTCGTATTCAGAATTTACGAATGAGAATGTATAGATGCCACTGTCTGTCTCAGTGAGTTTGTTGATACACAAGGACTGGTCACTTGGATTATAATCCACTTTGCCTTTGTACTTGGCTGTGATGTTTTTTGCTAAAGCAATAGCATCCTTATTAAAAAACCACGTAGGTTGATGATGTGGTGGTGATTCTTCAACTTGTAAACACATTGAACCGTTTTTCTCCCGGTAATGCGTCGTTGGTGGGTCCTTTGCCGTCATCCCTGACAGGAAACAATACATGATATAAGAAGAAAGTTATATGAAGCAATAATATAAATATCCTAAGATACATGTCATGAGCATTGACGGGTTTTATTCTTTAGCAAGACGAACACTGATGTTAGTTCAGCTTTCTCTTCTTCCTCCTAATGTAAGAAACCATCAAGACTATAAGCAAGCAATCGTAAGTCATGCAATGAAAGCTTATGTTGCAGCAGGGCGCACTGTAACGCACCAGCAGTACTCTGATTACCACTTAAAGAAGTAAAATCTCAGTATATGAAATAAAACGAGATAAGAAGAAGTACACAAAATGTCTTTGTTACACTGCATGAGAGCCAGGAGCAAGAAGGCAAAGTTAATGAATTTAATGACCTAAAAAGGAACTTTACAACATAACTCCAAAAATAAATACATTTCCTACATTAACTTAAAGAGACCTACTGCATATGGAAAATAGCACCTTACTGCATTAAACATAGTATTACAGCCGGTTTATCAGCCTCATATAAATAGGTACAAATAGATCAACTGGTTCTAACATTTAAACATGCAAATGTTAATACATTTTTTATTCATTTTACCTGCAATCATCCAACAGCTCAGAAGAAGAAGAAGAAGAAGAAGCATCTTCAATCTACTCAAAGTTCTTGACAAACTCTGTAGATCATGTAAAGTGCGTTTCCTGTTGACGAGTTCAGCAGCACTGACAGCAGGTGTCCTCCTTCAGAGGCCCGGAAGTGGAACACAAATACCTTGTTTCAATTCAACCCACACATCGCCTAAGAGCAAACACCGTAAAATGAATGCTGCTCTGTTTATTCACAGTCTTATCTGTGAATAAACACAGACTGATTTTTTTTTATTATGAATTTTTAAGATGTCTTGAAGTGCATAACAAGCCGCCAAACTGACATCTATGCTATCTGTGTCATAGCTTTTTGTTTAATTCTCAATTCCATCACATAAACTATAAGGCCAAACCTTAACACTGCCATCAGTCTGTCGCTGGCCCACAAAAGGAGTCAAGTCAAGTCACAATCGCTGATTCAACCTAACAGAGATCGCAGCGACATTTGTTTTTTGTTTAAGACATACTTTGAAGTACGAACGCCATAATTGCCTTTCACCATTATCTGTACAAAAACAGTATGCATACATAGAAGTGTACTGTAATGGCTGAATTACAGGTTAAAAAAAATTGCCTGCTGAGGAAATGTGGCTGTAGTTTTACTTATGGAAACTACAGCCAAACAATACACCTGCAACATTTAGCCTGCACTACAGTAATGTACCATCATGGTGACCAAAGTACCATTATCTACTATTGAAAACTATGATTCTATGATTAAACTCTGCAGGGCTGGACATTAGCACTTGCCCGGGGCAAGTAAAGTCAAATCTGTGTTGAAATCAACAGGAGAGCTAGCTAAAGTTAGCCGTTAGCAGCCGGTGGGAATGTATTCATGTAAAATTGAAACTTGAATAAATACAGTAGTTTGAATGAGATGTTTTCACAGCAACAATTAGATATTAGAGAGGGAATTATGACCTGTTTAACTTCCTAACACTAGCTCTCAGCAGTTCATAATACATAATTAAAACTATTAACGCCGAGCTTGTGAAGAAAGCAACCAGAGTGAGTGGTTGTACGAACAGGAAGCACCAACCAAGACGGTATTACGGGATTTTATGTATTTTCTGTCGGGTTTGAATGAAGTGCGTTTTACAATTACTTATTACATCTTAGCAATGTTTCATCCTGGCAAAAATATTTGAACCCGGACAATATTGTAAAAGGAAAATGGTTGCAGTCTACTGTTGACGTAATATGAAAAACAATTATTTTACCCCAGTTAATATGAATTTAACAAATTACCTAAATACCAAGATCATAGAAATAAGGTCCCTTAAAAACAGACTCCTTTAAAGTAAGTATCATTACTCAAACATATAAATAAACTTCACCAATTAGCAAAACAAATTGAAACTAAACTATCAGTACACTTGCAAACGAGACTGTCCTTGTTGAACAAACATATACACATACATATACAAACATATACTTATTACTTATTATATTAATAAACTAAACACTCTGCCGTCAACATACAACTAGTTACACTGTAGCTACAAGAGTACACACATTCACAAGCAGAGTAAAGCATGCTTCACAGCGGCAGTACACTCCTCTTCACTGAAACAGGGTAAAGACACTTACACTTACGTTTTCATCCTCAGGAGGGAGTTTCTTACCGTTACACGAGCTACTGCCGCTAGCTGATGCTAGTCATGCACTTCCTTGTCGCTCCTCGGCGCGTCGGCCCGCCCTCCATGCGTCTGTTCCTCACCTGGTGCCAATCACGACAGGTGTCCCTCACTGGCCACCGTATTGACCAATGAAAAGGAAGAGTTGAAACTGAAGGCGTAATCTGTGGTTCTTATTTTAGTTATCCTGAAATATTCTCCTCTGGTATTAGATAGAACCGAATTACCATTTATTTAAAATGTATCATATCATTTTAATCCACTCTGAGTTATTTCTAAGTTTTACCTTACTTTATTTATATGACTGTAATCAATTAGCCTACATAGATAGATAGATAGATAGATAGATGGATGGATGGATGGATGGATGGATAGATAGATAGATAGATGGATAGAACACTATGATTATTATTAAAAATATCTGCAATATATTTCTAGAGGCCAACCTTTTGAGTTTCACATTTCGTTAAACTAACTTGTGCATTCGTTTACTAAATTACTGGTCCTCTTAACATTGGTTAACCCTAATATAAATAAAAATAAGTGAAATTAAATGAATTTAAAGCTTCATAAAATGAAATACTCTATAATTCATAAGTCATCATCAACATGTTAAGTGGGATGAGATGATTTAAAAACACCACGTTGGTGATGTTTCAGGTCTTTCATCTTCCATAAAGTGTATTCCACTGGAGGCAATTCAAACAGCATCATTTAGTTTCATGCACACACATATAGACATGTTGTAAATGACAGGCTACATTTATTAAAACAGCCACTTAGAAAGTGCTTACTTATCAAGTTAGACCAAAGTGAGTGATCCACATACAGTATACAGAAGGCTTTACAGTATAAACACGCACAACCTCTCAGCACACATTGATTCTGAAATATGTTCAGTTATTTTCAATAGTTTCCATTGGGCTCGTCTGGAGCAGCAGATGATTTCATTTTGAACACTTAATCTCCACCAAGAGCACACATTTATCACAGATCATGATGCATATTACTGGTTTTAATAACATGCGTCGTTGGCCATTCAAACAAAAACAATTTTAAGAATAGAAAAAGGTCTTCCTAATCTTTGTCTCATTTTTTGTCCTCAAGGAACAAGTTCCACTATTTGATTTCATTTTGATGCGTCTGTCGCCATTTCAATATAGAATAAAAGGAGAAAAATATAATTTTTATCCAAATGTATGTACTTATCCAATACAAAAAGGCTGTTGATTAGACACACATTGGCACTTTCATAACCAATGTTTGGAGGAACTGACGGCAGTAAAAAGACGGGAACACTGTACTTAAAAGAAATAACATTGTGCATCGACGATATGGGATGTTGAAAATGCAGAGTGGTGTATCAAATGCCAGGACGTACAGTTATGAACAATATCGGAAAAACATATTTTTATACACTGTACAGAGGTACATTATCACACACATGCTGTACATAAGAGAGTTCACAAAAAGGCTCATACAAACACGATTTAACTCATTTTCAGGCATAACAACGCACACTCACACTCACACTCACAAACATAATCACAAGATGTAATCATTTATTAGAGTGCATTAAGTATAAGAGTTAGTTCAGTTATTCCCCTTGTGTGAAATGCCACGTTTCTGTCAAGTTAAAGTGCTTTTAGTAATATTACTAAATATATTTTCCCCCAATAAACAAGAAAAGACATTCATATGAAAGAGCTGAATATTTTGCAGGTGCAACAAGTAATGATGCTGTTAAAGACTATTGGGTGCATAAAATATTATAAAATCCCTCATTAAAAATATAATGTGGTTCCAGTTTTCTCGCCACCTTTTGCAGGTATTTTGTTAATTTAAAAAAAAAGCAAAAAAAAAAAAACACAGTACTGTGATTCAGTGATTAGCTAGACGTTCAGACGTTTAACTACACTGAAAAAAAATCGTATCAAGTCAATTTTTCTGTAGTTGAGTTCTTATTTTCTTATAACAGAAATAGAAATCAACTTTTTCCATTTCTGAAATCAGGTTAACTTTTCGTATTCCTTCTAGGTTGAAGGAAAAGTTCGTTACTAGAAAAGTCTTGAAATAGGTTGATTTCTATTGGAATTAGATTTTGTTATTACTAAAAACCCTATAGGGCTAAATCATAGACATATATGACCCGATAAGATGTGTCTCTACGGACGACTTGCTGTACATTTGTACATGTTGGGTTTGTAACTTGCTCCCTTTGAAGTGATACAGTTCAGTAGGCCTACAGTATATAGCCCACAGTCTTGTGGTTCCAGGTGTCTCTCTCTCATATCCGCAGGCTGAGGGTTTTGCGTACAAGTGGGGGAGGTGTTTTTTGTGAGCAGCTTGTTTCTTTTCTTCCTGCTTATATCTTGTATGACTTTCACATCAGCTTTCCGTTACCACTTCCTGTTACTTCTCTTTTACCTCAGACATTACTAATACGCACACTGTGAGGGCTGCGCCCCCTTTCTCGCCCCTTCTCCTCCCCCCTGTAGTTCTCCTCCAGTCGCATCTTCTCTGGGTCCATCCCAGCCTCCTTGCCTCTGTGGCCACGAGACGCCTGCGACGGCGGGCTCGGTGGCAAGGCCTGCTTGAAGAGCGGTGGGGTTTTAGTTTTGGCCACTTTGTCAAAGAAGGTGAAATCGGCCACATATTTCCCGGAGGGGGACAGGGAGACGACGGGGGGGAACTCGTAGCCCCAGAGAATCTCATCCGGAAGGTAGGATGTTCGGACCTGACAGGTGGCGGAGGTCGGCTCAACCGTGGCGCTCATGATCACTAGCAGCTCAAAGTCAGCCACTTCCGGGTCTGTCCAGCCACCACCTGGAGGACAGAGGAAACCTGGGGTTCAACGACAATCTTAAAAAACTACCATTTTCCAAAGCAAGCCATATGTTTTATATAAGTTTTCTTACAGAAAAGCTGCTGGGAAATTGATTATCCATCACAAAAAAAGTGAGAAATTCAGAGCGTAATTATAGCAGCATACAGCTATTATCGCTGCTCTGCACTGAGTTCGTACGGTGGTTAGCGCTGATAATGCCATCCCGACCTACGCCATCATTGCAGGAAGCGTTACGCCCAACCTCCGGTCAGTAAACGCTGTTACTCCTGTCAGCACTGTTGCCGTTGTTTGCGCTGTTAGACAGTCACGTATGTGGCGAAGGAAAGACACACACGCGAACATGCACACACATCCTGAAATTTCCAAAACATAAAAACTCCCCACTCACTGACTGATTCAAAAAACACTTGACCGGATCTCACACACAAACACACACACACACTTACAGAACTCATTCCAGCATGTTGAACACACAAACACACACGCATAGTAAAAACTGCCACCTGTTGGAAACATTACAATCATAAATATCACATATATTTAAAAAAATAATATATATATATATATATATATATATATACATATATATCCTTCTCATTCATTGACACACAAACCCAATAGCACAAAGGACACGCTAGCCGACTCCTGCACTCAAACAAAGCACACACCTGCATCAACAGGCTGCACTCAGAATGCCGACTCTGTCATCTGTCTAAACAGTCCTTCCCCTAACCCAGACCCAGTGACGCTCCCACCAGGGAAAAAAACACCAGGTTTCGCAACCGCTCGTACTCCCTGCCACAAAACTTGGTCGAGGGATTCTCTTTATTGGGCGGTGCAAAGGGCTCCAACTGCATTGATGTAGTGATCTTAACCAGCTGCATGGCTAGGGATGCTGCTGCTGCTGCACGGGTTAACATGAAATATGGCGCAGACATTCATGGCCCCCCCCCCCCCTCAGGATGAATTGTAATAACTTTGGTCATCTTTACTTTTCACGTGACGCCAATATTAGGTCAAAATTTTGCCCTGTACTGTGGTTTATGTGCAAAACTGACGACACTTCCATCAGCCTCAGCTGTGCATTTTTGTGCTAATAAGCAAATGTAAGCATGCTGAAATGTAAAACTTAGCTGCGGAACATAGTAAGCATTATACCTGCTAAACTCACAGTCACATAATGCCATAAAGAGTCACACACTGTTGCACTGGAAGCCAGTTTTCAATGTTCTTATCGGAGCAGTTTCCTGCTGAAGATCCCTTAAATGTGGTACATGTTGAGAACATAAAGCAGGCTTAGCAGGAAGCTTTAAAGCTCTGTTCAAAGAACCAGCACAAAAGCGTGCTCAGTCATGAGTATTATCATGGAAGTATGCCCAAGACTTTTCAAAATGTCCGTAAGAGACAGCCACCCATTCATCCATGATCTAGTCATCATGTGCAGAACCGCACATTTCCTTAACATTCACCTGTTGAGGAAATGAACAACACGATGTTCTGTGTAACACATACGGCACATTTGCGTCAATAAGAGGTTCTTACATCTGCAAGTCAAAGTCAAGATAATAAGGTGTTCGTCTTTATGCCACTTTTTATGTGATGGGTGCTTTTACGGCCTGGATATATGCAACGCGAACGAGCCAGATGAAAGAACACTGGGGACCTGGCAACAAAAACTGACTACTGTTACAGTAGGTATTTAGAACAGGGAATACTGTAGTACTATGGACAGTATTATCTGTAATTTAATCCCTTAAATATGTCTCCAGTTGAAATTACTGCTGGAGGGGAGGTAATGACGGCTAAAACAAAACATAAGGTTGAAGTTAAATGGCAGAGCAAAAAGGCATCTAGGACATAAGGAAAGGAAAGTAACTGATAACGTACAAAACCAGGTGTGTCAAGTGAGGCCAAGGAAATAAGAAGTCCGCAGTTAAGAAGTGGTGTGAGTGTAAATAACGTCGCAATCACAGTCCATCAGTACTGATGCCTTTGTGGTTTCCAGTGCTGAGAGGACTGCGCTGCTGTAAGTGGATCTGTGCAGGCTTCGTGTCAGCACCCCAGACTGTACAGCATTGTGCTCTAATGAGGGGTGTCTCTGCCGGTCTCTCTCACACACATTCCAGCCAAAGAAACCATCTCCTCCGGTGCCAAACCGGCCCAACTCTGGACAGTTATAGAGGCAGCCAAAAACGCAGCACATGACCGTAAATACCAATACACCTACATACACATACCTACTGAATGTACATACAGTTATTCTCAACAGACATAAGAAGGTTTTGTTTCAAATAAAGACATCTCATAAAATATATAACGCCTTTTGCCAATTAAGGATTGCTTGTAAATTACTGAATACAATTTTTTAAATGTAATTATCGAAGAAGTTTTCTTCTTGATATTTGTGTATCAAACCAAGCAGCAACCTCCTGTGCCACTTCAGGCTTGCTTCAAAAGTGAGTCAATCCCCATAGACCCCCATGTTAAGATGCCCGACTTTACAGCAGAAATAAACATGTTTACAGCCTGGTACAAAAAACGGATTGAATTCATTCATGGCCACTATGTGGGAGATAATGTTTTGTATGAGTCACCCATTTAAATTCTGTTAGGGCGTAAAGTTAGATATATCTCAGTGCCTGTTTTGAGTGACAGGTGGGTGCCGTCTTAGATCGCTATGCTAGCTGTCTCCTCTGATGCGTCACCTCAACCAAAGATCCACAGCCTACCTTTTGCTGCCCAGGCCCTGAGGGGGCTGTTGTCGTCGATGATGTGGTAGAAAGTCAGGGGGATGATGAGGAAGGGGCTGTCGCTGGATGTGTCCACCTGGAAGGGCACGTTGCGCTGGTCCAGCCGCACCGTCTCGCCCTCCTTGGTCAGCGACGTCTGAAGCAACTTCCCCGTCACCTGGGAGCCAAGATGGAGTCAGTAAATGTAGCCAAGAGGTTGCAGAAGGCATCCTGTAACCAAAAGGCTCCAGGTTTAATACCTGCCAATATCTTCATCAAAGGCAATGTGTCCTTGAGCATGGCAAAATTCTTACCAATCAGGTTATTAAGCAAGCACTCTACTCGACATTATAGCAGTCCCTTTAAAAGAGCTTATGGTTCTCATGAAGGCTTTTCTAGTGATTTCCTTTATTGCATGGGCTTCCAGGTAAGACTGTATGTCAGGGGGTTCATACCCATCATGGGATTGCATCCAAACAAATGCTGTGCAGAGCAAGTGGAATCAATAATAAAGCGCTTCAAACGCATTAACAAAGATACAAGACCGACATCAAACAGTAGGCGTCTCAGGTTGTAATTACATCTGATGAGAGGCACAAAACTGCAGTATGAATGAATCATACCCAAAAGCGACTTGCATACCTGGCATCCTAACAGCAGGCTTTTGCGCATGTTGGCCACTCGGATCATGAGGCAGGGCCGACCCTCGTGAGTTGACACGACAGCGTGTTGACTAAACTTCACTGTCTCGCCTCTCTTCTTGGGACGAGCGACCTACAAGAGGAGGGAAACATGTCATAGTTGGTAGAAATGGTTCTTGTTACTACGTACTGTAAACAGGGGGGAACTCTGATTTCCTCTTTCTCTGTTCAAGATAAGTGAGGAGATAACCTTGCTTTTGACAGATTACAGTTACCTAGAAGTCGATTGCTGAAAACAGTGACAGCTGTAGTGATACAGGATGGGTAAAGGAAGGACGTATTAAGATGAGGGGGGTCTGAGGAACCAGCCAATGAACTGCAACGTCCCAACTCAACTATCCAACTGAGACTCTTTGTTTTGGGTAACAAAGACTAAAACATGACTACCTTTGCAAGGAAAGTGCCGGTGATGAAGATCTCCATCACCATGGTGATGACCAGCTGAAAGATGAGCAGGACAATGGCGCCGGGACACTCCTCGGTGATGCACCGGAAGCCGTAGCCAATTGTGGTCTGAGACTCCAGAGAGAAGAGGAAGGCTCCCGTCAGGGTCTTCACCTCCATTACGCATGGAGTATGGTTGGAGGGGGGGTCAAACTCTGGAGGAAGAGAGGAAGAATAAAGGATCTACGGTTTGGGGGTTGTAAACTAATTATCAAGGAACATTGTGTTCCCTGTTCTGCCAGATCTTTCTCACGCTCTTTCTGCAATGTAAAACTGTATGCCTGTGTCTTTCTTGTTAACTCATTCACAAAAAAGTGCTTGTGCTTCATGAGTCCTTTTTTACAAACAGCCAAAGGACACAGACAAAGCTCCATCCTCCTCCCTCGCTCCTCCTTACCCAGGAGATCTCCATGCACCAATGCCACCAGGTACCAAAGCACTCCGAACACGAACCAGGTCCCAGCGAAGGTGGCGGAGAAGAGGAAGAACTTGTAGCGCCACTGCATGTCTAGGAAAGTCGTCCAGAGGTCTCGGAGGTACAACGCCCCTCGCCCGCTTACATGCTCGATGCGTACATTACTTCGCCCGTCTTTCGAGAGGACGCGGCGCCTCCTTCGCAGAGCGCAGGGCCCTGCAGCTCCCGTTCCTGCTCCACCTGCACCAGCACCTCCGGTCCCACCTGTGGAGCCCAGCAGGGGCTTGGTGATGTCAGTCTGCGTCTGGGAGTGGCACACTTTCTGAGGAGAGGAGCCTTCAGAGGAGGGCTGAGTGGCTGAGGTCATGGCCGGTGCTACAGAGGGGTCGGAGACGGAGACAACAGGAGGTGAGGAGAAGAAGAAAAGTGGGTAAAACCGGTGTGCATTAAAAAAAAAGAAAGGTGAGATGGCGAGAAGAAAAGGGCATAGGTTGTATGGGCAGTAAGATTAAGTGAACAGCAGGGGTGAGTCGAAATGAAAAGGTGCAGGATGTGTGAAAAAGGACAAAAGAGAGAACATAGTGAACCACATGAATGAGAAAAATGACAGAGTGGAACATTTGGGAAGAGAGGGAGATGACGATGAAGAGAGAAGAAGAGGAAGGGGATTAGAAGCACATTTTTCAACTGGGCAGTGTTGCGGCTATCCACGGTGGTCCATTAAAGCCCCTCTTTTCCTTTCAATTGAGGCAGCTGGCCTTGTCAAAATAAAAGCCTCCTTTCAGCGTGAAGGCACAGCTGCTCTTTCACATTAAAAGCGTGATAGTGCCGGCTCATTCGCGTGTCGGTTGCACAAGAGGGCTACTGAATTGAGATGAGGAGACACCAGTGACTGTTATTCCACATGAAAAGGATGAGGAGGAGAGTCTTTAGATTTCAATCAAGGACGCCGAGGTCTTCTGCTGGACAACCCTCTTCTATTTTGCTGAAAGCTGTTTTCAGACACAAGTTCAACCCTTCATTTTCTCAACACTTCTGAGAGAGTTAATTTATGCATCATTTGCAGCAGATGTGATAGAGAGATATGCACAATTTTGGAGTCAGACAAAGCTTTTGAGAGGATGTCCGCTGTGGGGAACTGTACAAAAAGTTGCCCATTGTGTATTTGTATTACTGTAGTTCATGGTTTAGGCCCCTTAGGTCCACTTAAAGGAAATCTCAATGCTGCCACCATGATATGTGCACTCGGCAACGTTCATAAATGGGTTGGGAACTTTAACCCCATCCAACACCTTTATGATGAACTGAAACGCCAGGTCTTGTCACCCACATCGGTGATTCTCTTGTGACTTAAATGGTTCCAAAATATTGTAGAAAACCTTCCTTGAAGATCCATGCAGCATATTTACACATTAGATGTTCATTAATGAAACACGTAAGTCCAAACACATTTGGAAACATATGTATATTGTACTTGTACTCCCATACAACTACACCATTACTCAAACTAAGTGCTTGTTGTCGTTTAACAAGTGTCAAGTGAATGCCTATATGTCAGACAATGGAGGTGTGATGCGGTGGGATGGATCTGTATGTAAGTGTCTGTCGGTCTCAAAGTGTCAGCAGTATATTAACAGAACAAGAAGTCCCCCACCCCACCCCCGGGTGCCATGGACACTTATTCTCGCTGTATGGGTTTTTCCTTGCTTCACCCTCATCAGGGCTGCAGTTTCTCCATATCCTTCTTTTTCCTTCCTTCTCTCTGGCTCACACTCACTGTTCACCAAATGGCCCCTTTTGTGTCAAACTGCCTCGGCTTTCCGAAGCGCAATACCACAAAAACCTAAAACAAAACCACACAAACAAAAGCCGAAGAAACACGACGATCTGATACACTCTGTCCTTCCTGACCCTTCTCTCTCTGCCCTCTCCATGCTGGAGCTCACACTGAGTGAATGAATAGAGATCTGTGTTGATGTCTGTGCTCTGAATACTAACATGTGGAGGGGGAGAGGGAGGCGGGGTCAAGAGGAGGCCCATGTGATTGGCCGTGTCCATCTCCAGCTGAACTCTGAACCCTGCGTGGCTCCTGCCTACACATACAGTAAACACACACTCGTGTATTGAACATATAGACCTTTTGAACAGTTCAAGCACAATACAATCCCATTGACTGTCCAAAGGAATGTTTGGTTTGCAGACTCAGGACTTTACACACAATAATACAGTAACTAGCAGTAATAATACAGTACTAATGCAGCCCTGCTCCACTATGTTCGCTAACTTTGTCTGCCTGTAATTTGTTTCTGGGCCGCTTGTGTACAGTGTGTTTATCAAAGCTTTTCCACGGGAACACGGCAGCCGTGTTTGACTGTAAACGAGTTTGATGAGAGCGGTGAGACTGAACTAAAACAATAAGTTGAAAGATGCTTAAAACTTTGTCACAACAAAAAAATCCAGAATATTTAACAGTATCTACAGTCACTACCCTTATAAGCTATACAAAGCAAGTTATATCGATATTAGTAGAGGCAAAACAAGTATCAGACTCGCTGACAGCAATATGGATTCCCTCTCTTTCTGAAATGACTTTTTCCACACTCAAGGTCAGGATCTCTTCCTCTCCTTCCCTCTGTCCTGTGCGCACAACAATCCTTTGTTTTCGAGGAGATGAAAGGGACAAAAGCCACCATTGAAAAATACAACTGGGTGAGCGAGTGAGTGAAAGAGAGAGCACGTTAGCCAGGGAGAGGAGAGCGGTACGGAGGGTTAAAGTTTTCATGTGTGTGTGTGTGTGTGTGTGACTGCGTTTGATCGTGTGTGAGTATGCGGTGCGTGACATCGTGAGGGGGAAGAAGGGAGAGAATAATTGGTTTTGAGGGGAGGATTGAGAGAGAATTGAGCATCGAGTGACAAAGGGAGTGAAAGAGGAAGAGGGAGGGAAATGGATGGCGAGAGAGAGAGAGGAAGGGGTATGTGAAGCGAAGGTGGAGGAAACAGATCGGTGACAAAAGACGGTCATTAGTATTCCAGAGGAGAGGGTAATCCCTTCCACTCTGTGGCCCTGTCCAGTGTCCACGGCCATAAAGAACCCCTAGCAGCCAGTACAGTGCACTGAAAAGACTCAATACAACACAAGCTGAATGGCTCCGACCACTGTCCGCACCCAAGCAGCCTCTGCACCCCTCTGAAAGGGCTGTCTAAACATCAACACAGGCCGTGCCAAGAAGGCATCTACTCCGCCAACACAAGACGTTAACACCACAAACTCCCCAGAGCCAAACTAAGCACCGCACATCGCCATGCAAATGAGCTGCTGTGGTGTCAGTGTGTCTTTATTTATGTAAGAGTGAATGATTTCAGACAGGCTCATTGAGAGACTGAGCCTCTTCTTCTTGCACTGCTTTTTTTTTTGTTCTATTTCCTTTTTTTTCTTTTCACTTCCGGTCTTTATGATTCAGCATAAACGACTGAACATTCACGGCCCTGATTGGTTCACACAGCCTACCGCCAATTCTCGAAAGGCGGGGACGCGTCACAGTGTATGTGCATGTGTGGGGTCGCTTACAAATTAGCTCAACTAGCTTGTTGCGGCGGTAGATTAGCTTGGTGTTTCTATTGCAACAACACCGATGTTTAACTTGATGATGCAGGTTATTGTTGTACATTTAAGAAACACAAACAATCACTAAACCAGTAGATATATTGCTCTGCATTACAGAGTCGGAGCACTTCCTTAATGGTTAAGGTCAATATTTAAACACTATTTATCATAACTGTCAGGTAGGTGACACCTAACTGTCTTGTGAAAACCACGTATCTCCAAAACAAAGTGACAAGGCTTTTTCAGAAAATCCGATGAGTTTTTCAATAGTTTATTTATTAAGAAGTAGAAGACTGAAAAAATCAAAAATAACCACATTTGGAGAGTCACAGTTTACACTGGAGAGCCTTTCATTTAAAGTAAAATCTGAATACCACTATCTAGAGATGGAATAGATAAATATGTATAAGTCTTCTTATACTGCGACACTCGGAAGGGCGAGATGCAATAATCAAATTGGGGATAACTATTGGGGCACACATTTCGGTGCCCCAAAAAGAGCTTGAGAGTTGAAATCCTGCCGTTCTCACCACTGCACACCTGACCAGTTGCTGCTTGGGAAAGGAGCAGGGGGAGAAGGTTTCAGATGCGGTTTGACGAATCCGAAAAACACTTTAGTTGACCTATACTAACACCTCAACATCCCACTAAATTGCATCTGATACTTGAAGGGAAAATAAAATCAAAGAAACAATTCATCCCCCCCCTAAATCAAGCAAGTACAGCGGCTGTAGTAGCTAAAACTTGATTATCTTGTATTTTGTAATCTGTGTATTCCACGTTGACATAATTTACCTTCGTGTGCACTTCAACAACAGGAAGTAAAAGTCATCAGTTGCGATGGTGATCAGACGTTTGTCTCAATGCGTGTGTGTGTGTGTGTCCCAACCTACCATCTAAATCTGAACACTTGGCCTCCGCTTCCTCGGCCCAGAATCAGTAGCCGAGGAGTTACGAGATTGAGGCAAATTAAACAGCAGAGAGCAGCGGTCGGCTGCAGGGCTGTGATTTAGGACTGACTTTTACCTTCTTCTTCCGATTCAGAGGTGACCAAAGCCCTGTGTCCCCCCCCCCCCCTGCTGTAAATCTGACCGCTCTGCTACTGTTGTGGTGCTGATGAGGATTCCTCAATGAGGACGTGTGATTCGTTTCGACCGAATGTTTCCGAGCCAACACTTTCAGTATAGACTCGGGAGTCAAAGCACCATCACACCTGTTCTTTCCACTATGTTTTGTACAAGCCCTCTCATTCTTTTATGCTACGAGTACTGTACGACAACTTCTAATGTTAACTGTCAATATTTATTAATCATGAGTTTCCGAGCAGGACAGGCTCAGGATGTTGAGACTTCGCTAAACGTTTCATTTAACGTTGAATTATTTTTGAATGCAAAACACCCACTGCAATATTAAATATTGTAGGACCAATTTGATAATATAGACCCAGATAATTCTGTGTAGCAGTCAGACATTTGATAGTGGAACCTCCTCTATTGTTACACACTTCTAGTATCCCTCCGCGCTGTAAACACAACACATTAGATGCAGCGAGACAGAGCACCTGAATGTTGACCTCAAGCCATGCATCAAGTCATGTTCAACGGCATGTTTCCTCTGATAATCCCAAAACACTTTTAAGAAGATTTAAGAAAAATCAGTGCTAACAACAGTGCCGTGTCGTAGGAAATTAACACGAAAAAGGAAGGAAAAGATAAGATAAATCCATAAAGAGACACACTTTGTACTGTTATACTAGGATGCCACTATACAGAATAATCTGTCAGATCTTCACATTATTTCTTTTAATCTTTGGTATCTTGATAAGTAGAAGAAAAGCAACAAAAGATAAGGATGAAAGACCTATTTTAAAACCTGTGTGTGTGTGTCTCTTACCTTTCTGTTGACTTGGAACAGAAGTTCACTTGGATTTAGTTTCACTGTCCAGCAGACATGTGAAAAAGACAGACAGCGCACAGTTCGATCTGTCGTGGAGGGAAGAAGGTTGAAAACAAGAGGAGAGAAGTTCACGGTTTTGAACGACACGCACTTGTTGACAGCCCGAGCATGTTTCTTTTCACAGCACCTCTCACGTTGACATCACATTGTTTGTGTTCTTTTTGCGGTCCCTCTACGTCGTTGTCATCCTATACATTTTAAGAAATAGAATTGCAAAAACAAACTCTTTGAAAAAAAACATGAAATAGCAAAAAGAGAGGCCCGGGTGAGGATAAACCGGCGGTGAGTCGGTGTCTCCCAGCACACTGGTACTGGCGGTGCCGGTTCTGGCTCACTGTTACTGGGTCATTATGTAATCAGATGAGCACAGTTCGCTCTCCGTCCTGCATGTGAAGCTGGAAGCCCCGTGTGTCCCGGGCAGAGGGAAGTAGCCTGTGCTGTCCACTCCTCCAGGACCCCCCCTGCATGCCTCTCTATATAAACCCAAAAGTCTTCAGACAGCCGCTGTATCACGACATTTTTAATTCATTAATTCAACTCTCCTCCCAGCTTCTCCTCATACCCTCCCTCCCCGTGTCTCTCCCTCACTGTACTCTATAAATGGGCCTCTTTGTTTGCGAAGGCCTCCTCCGCTGTTGCAGCCTTTGTCAACTTTCTCGTGTAAATGTTTGATGGTTATGAGATACAAGCCTGGAAGTTGTCGCACTGAAACGGAGGTATTTACAAATCAAAGCCGGGGAAGGGGGAAGAAAAAAGAAAACAGGGCTTCTTTCTTGTGCACTTGGCTACTTGCAGTTTTGCGTTGGCCAGTGCGCAGTGAATGGATAATACCGGTGCACTTCTGTGAGGCTGTGCCATGTCCGCCTGCGACGAGGGGCCGGGGGGGGGCTCTGTGGTGCACATGGTCCAGCTGTGAATGGATAGCGCGGGACGACCAGGACTAGTTTATCCAACAAGCATCACACTGAAACACTTGTCACTTTCACCTCTGAAGGAAAGAAGGAAGTGGTTACATGTATTACATTTACACGGCAGGTTCCGGTTCTTGTACTTGTACTCTCTACTTGTGCTCCACTTCCTTTCAGAGGGAACTATTGTGGGTTTTACTCCGCTGCATTTGTTTTTAGAGCTGCAGTTACTTTGCAGATTAAAATCTTGTGTGCGACACATTTGATCAACAAATAATATATGATGCACTTTTATACAACAGCATATATAAAGTATAATAATATAATATAAAGCAAATCAGCTCCACTCACTTCCACATGAATCCATGAGTAATAACAATACAATAACACATTCACATTAATACTCGGAAAGGTGCTTCTGTTTCTGATACTTTTACTTTGGTTACTTGGATTACATTTCGCTGATAATACTTGTGTACTTTTACTTGTAAGAGAGTATATTTTTTACAGTGGTAGTACTATTTTTTTCTTAAGTGAAGTACAGGGAAGTGTTGAGGTTAAATCTTAATGTTGACAGCAAGAGTGGTTGTGCAGGAATTTCTTCGATTTTGAGATGCACCTGCATTACAAATATTGGATGTGCGTTTATTTTTTATTTGCGTTTATTAAGTCCCGAGGTGCCAGGAGGGAATAAGTTCCCTTTTTACATTGAAAAACAACTGTGATCAGCCCAATTTAAAAAAAAAAAAGCCAGTTTATGTTGATTTCATTGGAATGTTTTTGCTCTTTTTGACACAAACATGTGGAAAAGAAGGCCAGATCGACTATTTGATTATAGGCTACAATTACATACGCTTTAAGTATAACATACACTGATACAAAAAAGTAAATGCTCCAACTCCCTGTAGAGTTAGTGTATGTCTCTGTAGGAGCCGCCTTTCTTATTCTAAAGAAAGTGAAAAGGGCAACCATTCAAAGCTTTCCTTATAACTTTGTTTTGACGGGAGTTCAATTTACCGAATGCCCAGATGAGAGTCTCCAGGTGGGGCTTCAGACGCATGAATCTGCAGCTGGGACGCGGCGCACAATAAACCCGGGCCCTGCACAGTCATCGGCCCGGCTGGTTTCACACGCACATCAATCTGCGGGGCTCCTCCAACATGCCAACATGGTGTTGTTCCTCCTCAGCACCCTCTGCTGTCCTGCAGAGTTTGGGGCTCCCCTTATCCGGAGTAACGGGGCCCTGCATCCATGGGGGCCCCACATTATACGAGTGTGTTTACCTTCTGGTTGACCATTTCATAAGGATTAGGCTCCTTTTAGCTCGGGGTCATCCTCGGCTTCACCTGAAGGCATGAAGGAGCCGATGAACAGGGTGATAAAAGAAGGCAAAAACATCAAGATTATTGCGACTGTTACGGGGACGGATGATGAAGAACTTTTCTCGCTATTGGCAAATGGCTGTACAAACTGTGGAAGAAATTTACTGTTCTCATTTTGTCACTGACCTGAAATAACCTCTGTCAAAGCAACATATAACTGTATTTAACCCGTTGCAACAAGAACAGACATGATCTGTGTCATTGCTGAGTCAGACTCTAGCAGTGTATGAGGGAGGCTGCATGTTTCCAAGTAGCATTAACTTTTTTGCAATCTCAGCTTCGGGTCCAAATGTTTGATTGTCCAACACTGGCGTACTAGTGACAATCCCATCGGCCTCAGCTGCACACTGTGTTCACCTAATGTTAGCATGCTAACAGGCTAAATTAGGACGGATGCGATGCTCATCAGCATGTTAGCGTTGTCATTTTGATCATGTTAGCATGTAGCCTAAAGCACCAACGTTATGTAAATATTATCCACTAAAATGCATGGAAGTGAAGGGAGGCAGACCCCTAAAACATTACTTGCGAAGTAAAGCATTTAATAGATGTTTATTCTGTTTCGTTAATCATGTATGGGATTTGTGACCATTTTTGTTCAACGACACCAACGATAAGTGTTCTGTAAAATTGTTGCACAAAACTGTCATGTTTAACTCCAGTTCAAAGGACTTCAGAGACTTTAACCTCTTTGTTTACCGAAAAAGCTTCAAATATCGGATGAAATAGGCGATCCTCATGTATTCCAAAAGGATTATATGGCTGCATTAAATATCACCGCACGGTATAAAGGCTCAATTTTGCTCTGCATCATATTTAACCCACCTCATGTACGTTTGAAAGAATGTGACCTCGCTAAGCCAACACAAACCAACACATTGCTCCTCTGTTTTCAGACCGGCGAGAGTTTTAGGAAAACTATGTCACGGAGGTCAGCGGTCACTGAGAGGGAGTCGAGAGAGGAGGGAGAAGACGAGGAAGAAAAGAGAGAAGGAGGGGAAAGAGAGAGAATGGGACACAAAGAAAAAGAGGAAGGAAGAGAAGAAGCAGACAGGAAGACGTTGTAATGATGGAGGAGAGAGGAGAGAGGAGCGAGGAGAGAGGAGCGGCGAGAGATTGTAAGAGGAGGTGTGGTGGAAGGAGACAAAGTGGCACATGATGGCGTAATGTGGACCGGTCGGAAGGCCACCCTTCATTTTTCACCTCCTTCTTCCTTGTTTCCACCCCTCTCTTTGTTGATCTGCCTCCTCGGCCGGTTTGTGTTTCCATCACATGTTGCCCTCCCCCTTTGTTTGTTCTTTTATTCTGTCAGTTTCACTTCACCGACCCCCTCCCGCTTTGTGAGTGAGCGACAACCTCTTCCTGCAAGTAGAGGACAAAATGGGGAGAAACCTGTGCACACACATGCAGACACCCCGAAAATCACATTAAACACAGACACACAGAGACAGACAGGTAAACAAGTGAGCCGACAAGTGCCGCATTAATCTCTCACTCCATCTGGTGGTTGTCTGTAACATACACACTCATCAGACAGATACAGACAGATGGAGGATCCTGCAGGCAACCTAGAAAAATAACATATTTAATAGGCTACATAGGTATGTTGTCATGGGCTTTTTTTGGTAATATTTCCAAATAATAGTGTTGAAAAGTCTAGTAAAAAAATAGTAAAAGTCATATTTCTTTCCCAAAAATTTGGGGAGACCCTATGAATGCACGGCGCCCTATAGCATTCGGCCATGCTATGAACTTTGGTCTTTTTAATCATAGGAAGCTGGATCTTCTTCAGATTTGATTTGGATATTTCGTATTTTGATTGAATTAATAAGCTGCATGAAGAAAAGAAAACTTCATCCTCGTGACTAAAAACTCAATTTCCACTCATGTGACCTGCAGACGGGTCTCAAATTAAAGGAAAACCTGAATATACAGTGCATGTCAGGAAACATAGTGAATGCAGATGCTTATCTAGAGAGCACAAAAGGTTCACAAGTATGGTATGCCCCATCACCAAATCTCAACCTAACTGAACACCAATGGAAGAATTTGTATTGTTAACACGGCCTCTCCTAAACCAGCATTCCTAAACAGGCTGCAGGCGGAAACTGTTATCTCGATCTAAAGGAAACACACATGTAGGCCTACACATACAGACCACTGAACAAGGGATTCCTCCGTCTCCATTTGTTTAATGCGCAGCAGCACGGCTGCACTCAAATAGTTTGTCTAATTTCTGCCTTTCACAAGGTCAAGTGGTCCAAATGATGACAACCTGATCTGATCTTTCCATGACAGCACATGATCGGTGCGGACCTAAAGGTCCTCACAAAGTCATTTCATTTTAATTGATATCGTGTTTATCCTTCAGCTGATAACGTCTTGTATCTTATTTCCGAGCCTTTCTCCACTCTGATCGCCATTTGTCTGTGAGAAAATGTTTTTTTAATAAGTGCTGCTCAGACCTGATGTGGTAGGATCAGCCAAAAAACAGCTGGAGTACTTGTTAAAGATAAACCAGGAAAAAAAGGTCAATGTTTCGAAACATGTGTCAGATAAGAAGCCAATAGTACACAAAGCCTTTTTTGGCCCTGCAGAGTTTGTCTCGGGGGTCCCCTCATGGATCGTACAGTTAAATAGCTTCTAATCTATGTCAATGACTGGTTTGTTTATGTTTTAGCGGGTTTTTACAAATGAAGTGGATGCAGTGGAAAATCTTGAGCTGCAGATGTGCCTGCTGGGTGACCGTGTTAGTCTAAGAGTTCCGTGAGGTTGTTTGGCCGTTTCTTGGAGTTTAAGAAAAGAGCATGGTTGACGTTAACTTGACAGACTAACGACTCACAGGAAGTGAGTGCTTTTCAATGTCTCTCTGCTGCTGTGTACTTAATCCCCAATAAAAACCATTATGTTGCGGCTTTGGCTCCCTCTTTCACCAGCATTGCACCATCGCCTAAAGCAACGCAGCTGACAACGACCCTCGGCACAGACACACAGGTCATGTATGTCGACCAACCGTTATATAACTCTGACCCAATTGACTGTCCGTAAACCTGATGTATACCACATTATTAGTGTGTCATCAGTCAATTTTGGCACTCCGGATTTTCTGTCGTTTCATGGCGTATCTTTAAATGAAACGATCATGAACATCTGGGAATGTTTGTGAATCCTAGCCACATGTATTGATCAGACTCTTGGTTGGACAGGAACAGTTGCTACAGTAGAGAACTTACCTGCCGAATTCAGTTGAAGTAGTTCTGAAACCCGGAATAAAGCATGTAATAATCTTCCAGCCATAGTTTTCCATGCTACCCTCCAGCCTGTGAATAAGGTCAGTGTGTGTAGCATTTCAAAAGGAGACCACATGATTTAGTTTTCA